CCACTTGCGGGAAGGACCACTCGTCGCCCGAAGCGGCGGCCGCGCCCTCGGCCATCGCCGCGGCGATATCCTGCGAGGAGACGTCGGCGGCTGGCGGGCGCGCTGGGGACAACAGGCCGATGTTCGAGCCGCGGGCCTCCCTCCCGCGCTCGATGATACTCTCCTTCATCGCCTGCATGGCCTTCTCGCGCTCCTCCTCGTCCATGGTGGGCACGTCGGGGCAAGCCAAGCGCTCGACGCCGCGCTTAAGCGGCTGCGGCGAGGAGACGTCGATCACGTGGCCGTGAAAGGCCACCGCGCGATCGCAGAGGCTTTGCTGAACGGCGCGGCAGACATTCAGCTGCTCATCGGTATCACGCGTATTTTCGAGAATGGGGCACGAGGCGCTGGTCGGCTGACCAGCGGCCGCTCGCGGGAACCATTCGCTCCCCTGCCTGCCGCCCGGCGGCTGCGTGGCCACCTCTGGGAAGTTGCATCTCGCGGGCGCGTCCTGGTCGAAGAGCGCGGGGCCACGGGCCGTCGATGACTGCCCGAGCTCCTCGCCCCGCGCTAACTTCTTCATGGCGGCCACGGCCCACCTCATGTGCTGGTCGTGGCCAGATGGAACGCGAGTCTGGTCTTTCTTGAATGCCTTGAGGATGTCGCACGTCTCGGGCGTGAAGAGATCTGGCTTCGCGGGCACTGGCCACGGAAAGCGAGGGGCTGGCTCCTTCGTCGTGGATGCCGCCCGAAAGTACACCCAGTTCGGCGAGAGGAGCACGACGTTGGACCTCGCCATCTGCGCCTCCGCGTCCGCCATCTTGTAGCTGCGCTGCTTTTCGCAAATGAAACTGCAGTCGATGGTCTTGATGAAGTCACTGAATGCTACCTCTTCCTTCTCCCTGCTGGCGGACTTGACCGTCGCCTCGAACTCCTCGTTATACGGATTGACACAGAGCTGACGGGACTGGTTCTGCTCGAAAGAGGCGCCGCCCCACCTGTGCAGCGCGCGGAAAACTACAGAACAACCAAAGGCCCTGGTACACTTATTGGCGTAATTTACACCCTGCAGAGGCCTGAGCACCCTGAAGAGGCCTGCGCACCCTGCAGAGGCCTGAGCACCCTGCAGAGGCCCGAGCGCCAGCGGCAACGGGAGGCACCAGCAGCAGCACCAGCATATGCGGTATGATTGCTGTCCATGCACATTTCTGGTTGCGCAATAAATCAAGTGCAACTGAGATGTGTTTTTCCGGGGGCGGAGGCGGGAACCCATTTTCTGGGTTACCTCATGTTCCTCCCTTGGACCCGCACGTAACAATCATTACTCCTCTGCCTCTCTCCTGCCCCCTGCACTCTCTCCCTCTCTCGCCCTTCCGCGCCGCCCTTCTGGACCCCTTTGCTGGGTCCCTTGCTGGGTCTCCTGGCTGGGTCTCCTCCTGGGCCCCCTGCTGGGCCCCTTTTCTGGGCCCCCTGCTGGGCCCCCCCATGGGTCTCCACGGGGGCGCCCAAAAAATGGACGCCCCTTGCACCGCAGAAGACGTGGTTGATTCTCACTGATTCTAGGTCGCCCAGCAGCGCTGAGTTCCCTCAAGGAGAGCGCCGTCGCGCTTGGAGCCCTTCCAGGGGACGCCCAGCGGAACTGCGCTCCCTCAAGGAGAGCGTCGTCGCGCTTCGGGCCTTTTCCATGGGACGCCCAGCGGCGCTGAGCTCCCTCAAGGGGAGCGTCGTCGTGCTTGGGCCTCCTCCAGGGGACGCCCGGCGGCGCTGGTTCTGGTTATGGTTCTGGTTCTGGCTCTGGTTCTGGTTCTGGTTTTGGCTCTGGTTCTGGTTCTGGTTCTGGTTGTGGTTCTGGTTCTGGTTCTGGTTCTGGTTATGGTTCTGGTTTTGGCCCCGGCTCTGGTTCTGGTTATGAGCTCCCTCCAGGGGGGCGTCGTCGCGCTTCGCGCCCCTCCAGGTGACGCCCAGCAACGCTGAGCTCCCTCAAGGGGGGCGCCGTCGCGCTCGGGGCCCTTCCAGGGGACGCCCAGCGGAACTGCGCTCCCTCAAGGAGAGCGTCGTCGCGCTTCGGGCCCTTCCAGGGGACGCCCAGCGGCGCTGAGCTCCCTCAAGGGGAGCGTCGTCGTGCTTGGGCCCCCTCCAGGGGGCGCCCAGAGGCGCTGGCTCTGGTTCTGGTTCTGGTTTCGGTTCTGGTTCTAAGTCTGGTTATGGTTTTGGTTATGCTTCTGGGTCTGGTTCTGGTTCCGGTTCTGGTTATGGTTCTGGTTATGAGCTCCCTCAAGGGGGGCGTCGTCGCGCTTGGTGCCCCTCCAGGTGAAGCCCAGCAGCGCTGAGCTCTCTCAAGGGGAGCGTCTTCGCGCTTGGAGTCATTCCAGGGGACGCCCAGCGGCGCTGAGCTCCCTCAAGGGGAGCATCGTCGCGCTTAGGGCCCCTCCAGGGGACGTCCAGCAGCGCTGAACTCCCTCAAGGGAAACGCAAGTGTTTATGATTGCTTCTGCGTTGCGGCGGGTTTGCCGCTGACTGTTGCTCAGGCAGCGACGGCATTGAGCTCAGTATCTCCAGACAAGGGGAATATTGTTTAATATCCCCCTATATTGACAGGGGGACCCTTTTCACCGCAGATGACGATGAGGAGGACGCCCCCATGCGGAAGAGCAGGAGGAGGAAGAGAATGATGATGAGGAGGATGTCCCCCCATCCCCCCACTCCGTCGTTTGGGGGTGCTGGGGCGGGGGGCGAGCATACATATATACACATACAGGCATGCAGATGTACAAATGCACACAGGCACGACGAAGCCCGACGAAGATAATATCGGGTGGGGAATCTCTGAGAACCGGCGGTTCTGGAAGATGTCTCGGGCGCCGCGGCCTTCCCAGAGCATGTGGGAACGCTATGGGACGGATTTTTTATCGTCGTCCTATAGCCCCGACCGAACGTGTGTCATGTTATGAGGGCGAGGCTGGAGCAATACCATTCCCACGGGTCTCGGGGCCACCGCCATCAATGCGTGGATCCACTGCGTGTGTGGCGGTCACCGTCGGCCGGAAGTATGTCAGCAGATGGAGTAGGACTGCAATTCGAGAAGACTTGGTTCCGGCCGACCACCCCCGAAACAAGAAAGGAAACTGGCCTTCTGTTGCTGAAAAACGAGGTGCATAATAATTAAGGCCCTGCGGGAACTTAGACATGGCCGAAATCGGCGCAGTCCTCGAAAACGCAGCGCCGAGCATCGCCAAAATGGAGGAAAGAGACTAGAAATTCGTCCAGCGCCCACCAGCGCTCAACGACTCATAGTTACTCGTGCAGTAATTAAGCCTCCCTGGTGACCCGCACGTCACCACCACCACGACCACAAAGATCGGGGGTAACTTGTCAGCGGTGCAGGAGGTCCTCGATCTTGGTGGCGGCCTCCAGCGTCGTAGCCCTTTTGAGTTTTATGCGCGCTGTCCGAACGGTCGGTGGGCTTCCCCCGCATAGCTTTTTGGGGGAGCGCGCCGATCTCGGCAACCCTGGTGACCCTGCAGAGCCCCCCCGGCCCTCGTGCTCCCCGCTTAGCCCCTGGAAGCACTGCCTACGTCGCGCACCTCCTCCCGCGCGCACGCGGACCCAGAAACTCCCGAAGCTTCCCCGTCGCCGGGGCTGCGCCGCCAGCCGTTGCTTGTACAGGGGCCAGACGTGGGCCCCCGCACGCCAGGTTTTGTTGAACAAGGCACGCGTTGAGCACATCGCAAAGCTGGTCAAGGGCTCCAAAATATAGAGCAGTACGGTGGGGACACCTTGGGCACAGGACATTATTTACGCGAACGGCGCCTGTGCACTGTGCCATGTCTGGACTTCCTTCAGGCCCCGCTCCTGTGCGGTGCGGTGCATAGTTCTTCGGTTCTGGGGGCTGGAAAACTATGCACCGTATCATTCCTGGGTCGAAGATCGACGACGCGTCGGGAGACGCCAACGTGGCACAGTGCATACATATCGTCCGCGGACTCTTCTCCACCAGCGACAGCCACAAAGCCACTGAACTAACCCGGCGGCGCGAGATCCGTGCGAACGCTGCGGCATGAGAGAGACCAGCGGCCCACCACGCAAAACTAAACGAAAACAAAAGAGAGAAGCGCGGCGCCGAAGGCCAGAGCTGCAAGCCCTCCCCTCGGCTTCGCCCCCAGAAAATGGGAAAACTGCACAAGTATCACCCTTTGGAGGTCTGCGCCCATGTCTTGGATCGGCGCTGACCCCCCTCGCGCTGGGGGGGTTCAACGCAGATGCCCAAGAAATTCGCGCGGGCCGTCGGAGGTTTCTGTTTGTGCCGCTACTGATTGCATTTTGATGAGTATGATTATCATTGTTATTCGTCTTCTTATGGTTATTATTCTTCTTCTTCACTTGAGCGCCGCCAAGGAGGGTCCAACGCATTTGCCACAACGCATTTGCCACAGAAATCCGCGCGGACCGTCGGAAGTTGATGCTTGTGCGGCCACTTCTTCTTCAACTGAGCGCCGCCAGGGAGATCCAGCGCATATGCCACAGAAATCCGCACGGAACCTCGGAAATGTATGTTCGCGCTGTTTGCTTCTGCTTCAAGTGAGCGCCGCCAAGAGGTCCAGCGCAGATCCAAGGAGTCCGTGCAGAGCCTCGGAAGTTCATGTCTGTGCCGTTTCTCAGGTTTCATGCTTCGCTCTTCTTGGTGACCCTGTGGACAGCCGATGCCAAATCTCTAAAAGAAGAACGGAGAGTCGGAAGGCTGTCCTGCCGCAAGACCGTCATCATCCTGCCCATAGAAGCGCAAAGGTACCGATACCGCTGCTCCACGGCCTTTTCCTGGGATGCGTTCGGACCATAATTTCGAAGCGAATGCAGCGGTGGCCACGAGGGCCTCCCGGGAGGCCGAAAAGGGGGAAAACGGAGGAAGGGTCATGGGTACCGCTTCCTCCTCTGAGCTTCCTCTTGAGTGAGGCGAAAGCCTGGCGCAGAAGAGAGGTGCTCCTTCCTCAGTTGAGGGCCCCCGAGAAGAGCAGCCCCCGCTCCTCCTCCCCCTCGGCCATCAACTTCGTGGCCTCCGCGACCGCCGCGTGGCCCTTCGGCAGGCGGATGTTGCGGACAAAGTACGGCCAGTCGACCTGCCGCTGGGGCTATCGGGCGCGATGCGGGCCCAGCGAGAGGCGGCCCCTTGCCGCCCCAGACCTGGGACGTCTACTCCTCCGACCGCCTCCTCCCGGCTCCCCCTTCCTTGTCCTCGTCCGCCCCCCCCCTGTCCTTCCCCTCCCCCTCGTCCTCCTCGTCCTCCTCACTTTCCCCTCCGTGATCATGACCCGCTCATGCTCCTGCTCTTCCATCCCGTTGTCCCACATCGCGGATATAGAGGCATGTCAGAGTGAGGGGGCCGAACGGTCATTCACTGTCCCTGGGTGCGTGGCTGATGTGGAATTCCGCGGTGCGGATTCTCGTTGTTGTTGTTGTTGTTGTTGGTTGTTGTTGTTGGTTGTTGTTGGTTGCTGTTGTTGGTTGTTGTTGGTTGTTGTTGTTGTTGTTGTTGTTGTTGTTGTTGTTGTTGTTGTTGTTGTTGTTGTTGTTGATTGTTGTTGTTTGTTGTCGTCGTCCCACCCGCAACCCGCCCCGCGACCCACCCGCGACCCACCCCGCGACCCACCCCGCGACCCACCCGCGACCCACCCGCGACCCACCCGCGACCCACCCCGCGACCCACCCCGCGACACACCCCGCGACCCACCCCGCGACCCACCCCGCGACCCAACCCGCGACCCAACCCGCGACCCCCCCGCGGCCCACCCCGCGACCAACCCGCGACCCACCCGCGACCCACCCGCGACCCACCCGCGACCCACCCGCGACCTACCCCGCGACCCACCCGCGACCCACCTTCGACCCAAACCACGTTCAAGGTACAAACCGCAATTTTCGGCGCCTGCGGCGGGCTTATTTGCATTCCTTCCCGTGGAGAGCCCGCGACACATCCCGTGACCAACTCGCGACCAACCCGCGACCCAAACCGCGTTCAGGGTACAAACCACATTTTTCGGCGCCTGCGGCGGGCATATTTTGCATTCGCTTCAGGTGGAGAGCCCGCGGCCCACCCGCGACCACGTTCAGGGTACAAACCACATTTTCGGCGCCTGCGGCGGGCATCTTTTGCATTCGTTCCCTGTGGAGAACCCGCGGCCCACCCGCGACCCAAACCTCGTTCCGTGTACAAGCCAATTTTTTTGGCGCTTGCGGCGGGCTGCTTTTGCATTCCTTCCAGGTGGCGGTGGAGAGCCCGCGACCCACCCGCAACCTAAACCACGTTCACTGAACAAACCAATGCCGCACAAGCGCGGCGGCGGATTCTTGCATGCCGTCTGAGCCCGCAAGGACCTCTTCACGCCCCGCGCATCCACGCCAGCCCGTCCAGCAACTTTGCCCTGGCGAGTTGCCTTGATCAGAGAAGGCGGGGAGCATAACATGGACAAAAAGGATTATGTTGCAGTTATCTTGGGAAAGGAGGGGGAGGCAGGATGAGTAAACAGGGGACGAGGAGAACGTGGAAGAAGAGAGGATGTACGGAGAACGTGGAGAAAGAAAAGGAGGAGGAGCAGGAGGACGAGGGGGAGGAGGGGGAGGAGGGGGAGGAGGAGGACGAGGAGGGGGAGGATGGGGAGGATGATGATGATGGACGACAATGGGAGGACGATGATGGAGGCCGATGAGGGGGAGGACGACAATGGGAGGACCATGATGAAAAGACGAGGGGGGGAGAGGGAGGACGAGGAAGAAGAGGAGGAGGAGGAGGACGAGGTGGAGGAGGAGGATGACGATGACGATGAGGACGAGGAAGAGGAGGAGGAGAAGGAGGAGGAAGAGGAGGAGAAGGAGGAGGAGGAGGTGGAGGAGAGCGCCATCGACAAGGAAGGTGGGGGCCACGAGGTCCGCCGGCTCGACGACGCCCGCGTCGCCCGCGCCCGCCCCCTCACTCTTATCCGCAATTGCGGGGTGCTACGTAGATTTTTTGCTGCCCGAATCAGGATGCACTCAAGATCTGTCCCCACTTCTCCGGGAAACCATCTTGTCCTTGGCTGCCAACCTCAACTACCACAGCCTCGGCGTGGGGCCCCAGAGTGCCGACATAAGCGCACATGCTCACATGTACGCAGCATGTAGCAGAGCGAAACGCGCTTCGAAAATCAATGCCCGCCGCGTTTGCGACGCTGTCCTCGACGATGCAAAGTGAGGGAACAATGCGCTTGGAGTGCCCACAACACTGTTACAATCGTTGAAGGCCACCAAGTGTATGAGTGACCCACTCTCTGATTCAGCACGTGGCGAAGCACGACCGGTTCAAAGTCTCAACAACTACTGAGCGTGTGATGTTTAAACGTTGTTATACCGACTGGAGCAACATGGGTGTGATTTGGAAATTAATACGAAGGCGATCACAGCGGCTCTCTGGCGAGATGACGCAGCGACCGTACGCGGCGGCTTACGTGGGCCACCAGCGCAGCACGCCACACTGGAGACGAGGGCGCTTAAGCGTGACTTTACGCGGGCAGCTTACGCGCCAATGTCGGCGCAGACGGCCTCATATGCATTTCGAATCGCGAACGGCGTTTTTCATCCGCCTCCACTTCCACCTGCGTGCCCCCCTCCCCGATCCACCTCCAGCTCCCCCTCCCTTCACCAGCACTCCACCTGAAGGGACGATCATCGCCACCGCCAGCCCAGAACGCGGCCGAAAATGGATGGCATGCAACGGTGCTCTCTGCGGGGAGCACGCGTTGCGAGGACACTTTGCGCGAGCACCGTCCCCAAACTACCGACCAAGTCAGGGCTCAAGGACACCCGAGCGACCTGCCCGAAACGCACAGGGAAACCCTACGCCATGTAAAGCCAGGCAATGTGCAGGACCGAGCGGGGACCACCGCCACCGAGCCGACCCCTAGGCGGTGGCACGCATGAGCGTCACCCAGTACTGGACCACGCTCTCTCGATAGGTTCTCGGTGGCGGTGGTCTCTGCTTCTTCTCTGAATTGCGAAAACCTCTCAAGCGAAACAGGCCCCAGACCAGGCCAAACCAGCTGAACCGTGCAGAATTTGAAGGCGCTTTTGGCGAAACGGGAGCCCAACTGAGACCAAACCCGGACAAAAGCCGTGAGCCAAGCCAGGCAAATTTCGATGGCACCACATGCGTCAAGCCGAGGAACCCACCTCATCTCGTTCTGAAAAAGAACGACGGGAAGTTTCTCTGCCTCTACGAGCCCTCGCCGTGCCCCAAGACCGTCAAACAAACGACTCGGAATGAGAAACCGGTCTCGGGGAAAGGGTCCAGAAATCCAGGCTTCACGTTGTCAGCAAATCACAACGCCAGAGCTCTGTTGGCACGGTCTCCGTGGCCCCACGACCTGAGAGAGAGTGTGCTCGGGGCTGTCCAAGACCCTGTTTGCCCACCGGCTCGGAGCGGGCTGGGCTGGGCCTGCCAGCATGGGTTTCTTGTTGGGCTGTCGTTGTGGCCTTCGTCTGGCTCTTGGGAAAATACCCGCCGAGGCCTGCAGTATGATGGGGAGGGGATGCGAGGGGAGCAAGAAAGACGACAATGAGGAGGGAGTCGCAGCTGGGTTATAACTGACCCTGGTTTGGGCCCGACTGGCTAACAGAGGGCCCTGACGGCTTTCAACCGACTCAAGCAGACTCCAGTCTGCCATGACAGCGACCCCCTCTGGGGCCTTTGATCCACCTCTGCTCTCATCATATTCCCCCCCTGGCTCAGGCTGGCCCCCCCTCCCCCATCATACCTCTCTTCTTCACACCCTCCCCCCTAATCTTCCTCCCCCTCCCCCTCATCTTCCCCAGGCCTTCCTCCTTCCCCCTCCCCCATCCCCTGCACCCCCTGCTTGCCCTTCTCCTCCTCCTCCTCCTCCTCCTCCTCCTCCTCCTCCTCCTCCTCCTCCTCCTCCTCCTCCTCCCCCTTATCCTCTCTTTTTCTTTTACCCCTCTTCGCCCTCCCCCTCCTCCTCCTCCTCCTTCCTCATTCTCCTCCTCCTCCTCCTCCTCCTCCTCCTCCTCCATCCTGCTTCTTTCATGCAATCTGCAACCCGCTAACAGCTCGATGCCGCCCAGCCAATGCTCGCACAACCTCTTGGTCGCATCACCGACCACCGACCAGTGATGTCACGTCGCAACTATACTTCCCAAAACCGTCCAAATACGCGACAGCCAACAAGCTCGACCAAGCCAACTATGTATTACGTGGTCCGCCGTTGATCCGCCCGCGTCAGTATCTCTGTAGATCAGCTTCCTGCTACCAAGATGGCTGATCGCCTGAGCAACAGGGGGTGCCATTCTGCACGGATTAGACTTACAGCGCGACCAAGGTACGAACATAAAGCGAGCACCAAAAGAGCACGATGCCGACCATGTCGCTGAATTCTGGAACGTCACCGACGACTCCTGCCACTCCCGTCGTGCGGGTGCCGCGCGAATTCCTCCACCCTCGTTCTCGCTCTGCACCTCTGTCGTTCTCTCCATCTGACCGGCTCAAGAAACCAGGAGCCCCCGAAGGTTGACGGCGGACCCGTCGCCCTGTTACTTCTGCTGGCCGAAGGGCGAAGTCTGGGCCGAAGGCGAGGCCCCTTCTGGAACGCCCTGTCTGCTGGAGCTTTGTGGGCTTGTTGTCGTTACTTTCCCCGTCTGCCTCGTGCCCGCTGGAGGTACAGCAGGAGCTCGACCATAAGAAACCTTCCACAAGACACCCAACCCTGAGACCCCAGGACGTCTATCGGCTGTTGGTGTGGGAACGTCACGCTTTGCATCGCAAAACCATGGAAGCCCAAGAAGCCTGGGGCACCCTGGAGGCAAGCAGGGTGTTTCTTGGCATGGCTTTCCACTGTACTTTTCCTGTCTGCCTTGTGACCGCGGGAGGTACAACCGTCGCCCTCTCCGCCCCCCCGACCAAGCAGAGAGCTGGCAGGGCGACCAGCCAGAGAACTGGCAGGGCGGCCATCCCAGGACCTGGCAGGGCGACCGGAACCTCTGTTGCACCAGACCCTTGCAACTGGCGGGCACGAAACCCCAGAGATCCGATGCCGTGATTTTTTCAGTATGGGGTCCCAGGAAGTCTCGACACGTTCCCCAAAACCAGCTTCTCATCCTGAGTCGTTTTTTGACAGCGCCGTGGCCCAGCGAGGGCCCCTAGAGGCCGAAAACTGCGAAAAACCTCCGCCTCAATTTTTTCAATGCGTTGGATCTCTGGGACCCTGGGAACGCGGGTCTCCACCTCCTTCGCGGAGCCAGCCTTTGCCTCCGCCCACTCGAGCCGATCTCCCGCCGGCGCAGAAGCCCAACAGTTCTGCGTCTCCGCCGCCCTCCGCGGGCCTTCCGCTGGCTCTCTCCGCCGGGGGCGGAAGGTCAGCCCTCGGAGCCTCTACGGCGCAGCGCCTCTGGGGAAGCTGAACCTCTCTCGTTGCCTTCCCTCCCGCCCTCTCTCTTCCCCTCTCTCCCTCTCTCTCTCTCTTTCTCTCTTTCGCATTCCCATCTCTCTTTCTCTCGATGTCTGTTCTCTCTCTCTCTCTCTCTCTCTCTCCCTATCTCTCGTTCTCCCTGTGTATGTCTCGCTCTCTCTCTCTCTCTCTCTTTCTCTCTCTTCCCCCTCCCTCGTCGCCTGGGTAGGAAAGCCGCTGGCCCCTCCCGCGCAACGCCGGCGGGCGCATCTCCGTTACCATTTTTTCCGCCCGCTCGAGATGATGCATGCGCCAGGCGCTCGTGCTCCTCGCCACGCTGGAGCCCTGCCTCCACCCCCTCCTCAACTTGCCGTCGCTGGGACGTCCATTACCCGTGCATTTGTCGTTCTCGGGCGTGTCTTCTTGCTCGATGATCCAGGACGCTCCTCCATGGCCCTCGCCGAGACAAAATGCACACGTCCGAGCGATGCCAAGTCAAACTCCTTCCTGTGCTCCTCTCCCTCCCCTTCCGCCGCCATCCGCCTCCCCCTCTGCCTCCATCCGCCTCCCTCTCCGCCTCCCTCCGCCTACACCTCCCACCTTCTCCTCCTCCTCCTCCTCCTCCTCCTCCTCCTCCTCCTCCTCCTCCTCCTCCTCCTCCTCCCCCAATTTCACTCATCCCTCCCTCGTCCTTCGCTAGCGCTCCTCCCTCATCCCCCCAAACCTTCCCCCTCCCCACCTGTCCTCCCCCTGGTCCTCCCGCCTCCCCCACTCCCCAGGCGAGGGAAGGAGGGGGGGGGACCAGGGAGAGGAGAACCGTGTCCAGAGCGAGGAGGACCAGGAAAAGGAGAGGCTCTCCTTCTTTAGCGGACGAAGACATGTATAGAACAAACTTCCCCGCCGTCGGGGACGCCTGCCCCAGGGCGGCTGGAAAATGTATACCCCGATGTGCCACTGGAAGGGTATAAACTCTCCAGCCGTCCCGGGGCAAGCGTCCCCGACGGCAGAACAGCAGTTCATGTTGAACCGCTCTTCGCCCGCGAACTGCTCCTGGGCCTCCGCCCTCACTCTGGCGGTTGCACGACCGCGCTGTCCCCGGCATGTGGCGCTGCTGAGATGCCGGCGCCGCCCGGCACCCACGGCCGCGGCCACACCTCGCCGCGGCCCGCGCACCGTGGCGACCTCTAGCGGCCGCTGCGCGGCCAGCGGCCTCGCAGCGGCGCTGCTCGCGCGCGCGAAACCGCCGCAGGGCCGCGCGGGGCGTCGCCCGACGCAGGGCGCTCCGCCCCCGTGGCGGCCGCGAGGGCCGAAGTCTGGCGCGCCGCCGCCCGCCGGCGCTTGCCGCGGCACTGGCTCTGCGGAGACGGCGGGGCCGCGCGGAGTCGCGAGGCTGTGCAGCGGCGGGAGGCGCACCCCCCGGAAGAGGGGCGCCGCAACCCCCCGAACAGGTGGCGGCCGCGGCGGCGGAGCGTCGGCCGTGGCCGTGGCGCCCGATGCCACCGCGCTGCTGCTGGCAGGGCACCGGCGCAAGCTGAGGGCCAAAAGGTGTTCGTCGTGAAGCCCCCACGACGGGCGCGGAGCTCCTGGCGCGGAGCAGCCGGCGGCAGCCCCCGTGGGCGCGCTGGCGGGCCACGGGCGTCGGGCGCCGGCAGGGGCGGGCCTGGGCTGCCGTCGCCGCCGAGCACAGCGCAGCCGGCTAGCGGCGCGGTGTTGGGGCAGCAGGGCGGGCGGCGGGGTCGGTGAGACCACCTCGCGGCCGCCTTCACCGCCTTTGCGTGCAAGGTCGGCCGCACTGCCCCCCAATGCCGCGTAGCTCGGAAAGCGGCGGGCTTCACTCCGCGTTCGGCTCGGTGCTGTCGACTCGGCTGCACTCTTGCTATCCGGTCTCCTGTCTCCTGTATATCCTCCCTCCTCCGTCGTCCGCCCTCTGTACGGGGCTTCAGGAACATATGTAGAACCTGTGCAAACAAGCTGTTCAAGGGAAAAAGCACATACAAGACAGGAGCCCCCCCTGAAACGACGTTAATAATCCCCCAAATGTCATCATCGTCGAAACCTCTTCCTCCTCCCAACTTTTCTCACTATGCCTCCCCCCTTCTTCCCCCCCTCTCCCCCTCTACAATCCACCCGCATCGTAAGGATGGGTAGCCTTCCTAAGGGTACCCTTGCATCCTTGCCCCTTCGGCCCATCATTGGCCGCTTTCGCTAGCCGCGCCCCGCTCGCAAGGTGTCGACATGGCCTTCGAAGGCCCTTTTGCATCCTTACCGCGCAGCCTCATGCACGGGCCCACTCCGCCTCCCCCGTCCTCGCCATCGCGCCCAAAACCTCCCTGGAGCGGAGGGGCGTCGGCACCCGCGTATGCGAGCCACCACGGCGGCCTTCCCCCGTCCCATTGCGCTGCCGTGGACTGTCTCTGGGCCCGGTCGGCCCTTGGCAAGCTCGCCGTCGCTCTCGTTGCCGTCCTCGCCCTCGTCGTCGTGGGGCCTCGGCGTCGTCGTCGCCCGCCCACTGCCCTCCCTCCCTCGATGACCTCATCACTCCTCCTCCTCCTCCTCCTCGTCCTCCTCCTCCTCCTCCTCCTCCTCCTCCTCCTCCTCGCTGCCCGCGGTGGTCCTGACGCCCCCCCCCCCTCCCTGGCCCTCCGTGAACGAAAGACAGCAGGCCCTCGCACGCCATCCCCTCGCTGCCCAGGTCGTCATCGTCCATGGCCCTGAAGAGCAGAGGTGCGGCGGGAGCAAAGGCGGGGATGGAGGGACACCGCACCAAACGGCCCCAGGAAAAAGGACATGCGAGCATCAGGAGCAGATCGTTCCAAGTCCCACCTTGGGATGATTCCCCTCTAGGAACCCGCGAGAAGACCCAGCGGAAATGACGTCGTGATACCGTTGGCCCAGGATGCGTTCCAGGAGTTCTGGGGTATATGGCGGCCCACGTTTCTGCAGCCCGTGTGGAACATCGGGAAATGTGGCATCAACGGAAATCTTGCAACGTAAGTCGCGTCCGCACTTGCGGATGGATAGTGAGGGGGCGGGCGCGGATTGGGTTGCGGGTGGGTCTCGGGTGGGTCGCGGGTTTGGTCGCAGGTGGGTCGCGGGGTGGGTCGCAGGGTGGGTCGCGGGGTGGGTCGCGGTGGAATTCGCGGGGGGGAGGACGACAACGACGACGCCGACAACAACAACACCAATCATGTTAATACTGTTCGCTCTCATCTACTCGCGTGCCGACCTCCTCGTCTCCGATCGCACCCGCCGGGGAAATATATCCTCCTTTCCTGCCATGTGTAATTGGCGCAGCCCCTAAACCAGGGCAAGGGAGGGCGGAGGGAAGGGACAGTGGGGAGAGAGAACGATGGAACACGAGAGAGTTCAGCAGGAGGGCTTTAGGCCAAGAAAAAAAACGGCAGAACCATATAGGCGGGTCGGGCGGGCGGACCCTGACGGGCGGGTCGGGCGGGCGGGCCCAGACGGCCGGGTCGAGCGGGCGGGTCGCTGAAGCGTCAGTCCTGTATGAATCGCGAGGAAGCCTCAAGCGATAGAGCAATTCTCAAGTAAATCGTAAAGGAATCCAAAACGAGAGAGTGATTCCTGAGTGTCGAGGGCGCGGCGTCTTACAAGGCACTCCCACACGAGAGAACGATTCCTGCGTCAATTGTCAGGACGTCTCGCGCGAGAGCGCGATTCTTCAATACATTGGCAGGAGGTATGAGGTGGGTGCTGTTGTTGTTGGACTCTCATTACTGAATAATGTGTAATGCAGATTTCTTCCCTTCGGTGGCTACTGTGTTTTTTCATTGAAGTGCTCCCCTCCGGGCTCGAGCTCTGTTTTTATTCAGGAAAATTATGGGGCTCAAATTGGGCTGTTGGCCCTTGGTTCACAACCACACCGGCTCCCGCAGGATTCTCCCTCGCAATGTATTCCCAAATCGCGTGCTCGCGCGGGACCTCCGCACAATTCATGTATGCATCGCGCTCTCGCGTGGGACCTCCTCGCAATGTATTCGGACGATGCGCCCTCGGCGCTCAGGAATCACGCTCTCGCTCTGGCTTTTCTCAAGATTTATTTGGGAATCGCATTGTCGCTCGAGGGTTCCTCGCAAATCATGCAGGGACCACGCTTCAGCAACCCGCCTTCTCGACCTGGTCGCCTGGGCCCGCCTTCCCGACCTGCCCGATATGGGTCTGCCCACCCGATCTGACCGCCTGGTTCTACCACTTGTTTTCTGTTCCTTGCCCCCCTCCTGCCAATTCCTCTCGTGCTCCATCCTTCTCCCTCCCCCTTCCACCCGCTCTCTCTTCCCTTTTCCTAGGGGCTGCACTAAATGCGCGTGGCAGGTCAGGAAGATATACCCCAAGGAGGTACGATCGAAGACGACGAGGGCGGATACCGAGGGTTTGGGATATACGTATTGATCGGCACGTGAGCAGATCGGAGCGGACAGTCTTAAACTGATTGTTGTTGTTGAACTCTCACTACTGAAGAGTAAATATGGTTGATCCCTCCCTCTGGTGACCATTGTATTTTTCAATTGAAGTGCTTCCTTCGGGGCTCGCACCCTTTTTTATCTGGGAAAGTCACGGTGCTCAAAATGGGTTGTTGGCTCCCAGTTTACAACAACAGCGGCTCCCGCCTGATATTGCCTCACAATGTATTCCCAAAAATCGCTCTCGCGCGGGACTTCCACACAACTCATATACGGATCGCGCTCTCGCGTGGGACCCCATCGCAATTTATTCAGACGATGCGCCCTCGGCGCTCAGGAATCACGCTCTCGCTCTGGCTGGTTTCAAGATTTATTTTGGAATAGCGCTATCGCTCGAGAGTTCCTCGCGAATCATGCAGGGACCACGCTTCAGCAACCCGCCTTCTCGACCTGGTCGCCTGGGCCCGCCATCCCGACCTGCTCGCGATGGGTCTGCCCATCCGATCTGCCCACCTGGTTCTACCACTTGTTTTCTGCTCCTTGCCCCCCTCCTGCCAATTCCTCTCGTGCTCCATTCTTCCCCCTCCCCCTTCCACCCGTCTTCTCTTCCCTTGTTTTTAGGGGCTGTACTACAATCGCGTGGCAAGTAAGGAAGATGTAACCCCCAAGGGGATACGATCGAAGACGACGAGGGCGGGTACCGAGGGTTTGGGATATACAGATTGATTGGCATGTCAGCAGATAGGAGCGGACAATCTGAAAATGAGTGTTGTTGTTGTTGTTGGTGTTGGTGCTGCTGTTGTTGTTGAATACTCATTTCTAGAAACTGGTTATTGTTGATCTCTGGAAACGGTTCCGCGCGATCTCGCCTCGACGCAGGCTGCAATTCCTCTGGAAACGAAGCTCCCGCTCAAGCGCGGGCTTGATTGTTTTTGGGGGCCCCGCTACAACGACAACGGCTGCCGCTCGATACCTCCTCACAAATCTACCCCGAGACGCCAGAGAGGCACCCGAACTCAGGAACGGCGCTCTCGCTCGAGGCTTCCTCGCAATTCAATCAAGTTGGCGGAGGCCCAGCCACGACGACAAGGGCTCTTGCCCGATACGTCCTCACAATTTACTCCGAGAGCCCCTGGCCAGGAAGGCTCCCGAACTCAGGAACGGCGCTCTCGCTCGAGACTTTCTCGTGATTCTATCATATTGGTGGAGGCCAAACGACGGCGACGAGGGCTTTCGAGACTTTCTCAAAATGTATTCGCAGAGGCCCTTGCCAGTGAAGCCCACGAACTCAAGAGTGGCGCTCTCGCTCGAGACTTCCTCGTGATTCAGACAAGCTGGTGGAGGCACAGACTCGGCGACAAGGGCTCCCGTTCGATATGTCTCAATATGTGTTCCGAGAGCCCCTGGCCAGAGAGGCCCCTGAACTCAGGAACGGCGCTCTCGCTCGAGAGTTCCTCGCACTTCACTCAGTGGCCGACAAAGAAAATATTCCCCCCGAAAGGGGCTGCGATCGAAGACGACGTGGGCGGGTATCGAGCGTAGGGGTATACAGAATGCACGACGCGCGTGCCAGTAAGAGCGAACTGTCTTACAATGATTGTTGTTGTTGTTGTTGTTATTATTGTTTTTAGTTGCTGTTGTTGTAAACCCGGGGCCAGGGCCCAATCTGAGGCCCAAAACGTTACCTGGTACAAAAAACAGAAAGGGCGAGCCAAAGGAGGGACACTTCAATAGAAACAACACAAGGTGCACAAGAGGGCCACTGGGGGCCAATATCCTCTTACCCTGATTCCTTGCCCGAGACCGATTTGCCAGCATCTCTTGCGAGGCACTTTGTCATCTTCAATTCAGATGTCTGGAGCCTCCTTTGGGGCGTCTTGGTGGCCTCTTTGGCCGTCTTGATGCTAGGCCGTTCAAGGGCCCCTTGGGGCGCCGTTGGATGTTTCTTGGCGGATCTTCCGGACCCTTCTGGCGCCTCTGCAAGGGCCTGTTCGGAACCCTGGTGGGGCCGCACGGAAGCCCTCCAGAGGCGATGCCGAAACGAAGGCTCCACTCTTGAGAAAAAAACGAGGACATATCGAGCGGGAGCGTCGTTGTTGTAGGGAGGCCAGTTTGCGAACCCAAGGCGGGAACGCCATTCCTGGGCAAAACGCTAAGAAATATTGAGCGGGAGCGCTGGTTTTGTTGGAGGGACGGTTTTCGGCGGCGAGCAGGAGCGCCAGCCTTCAGTAAAACGCATGGATCTATGGAGCGGAACCAACGTTGCTGCAAGGGGGCTGGTTTGCGGACTCAAGGCGGGAACGCCACCCCCAGGAACAAAACGAAGAGCATCGAACGGGAGCGCTGGTCTTGTTGGAGGGGCGATTTCTGGCGGTGAACAAGACCACTGGTCTTGAGCAATAGGCGAGGAAGTATCGAGCGGGGGCGTACTTGTTGTGCGGGGGCCTCTGCGCGGATCCAACATGCGAACTTCACTCCTCCTGAGTGAGAGACCAAAACGTATAGAGCGGGAGCGCTTTGGAGGGCTCGTTCGGCGGCGAGCAAGGGCACCGGCCCTGACTGAAGAACGGGGGAGAATCGAGCGGGAGCGCTGTTGTTGTTGGGAAGGCGGTTTGGACGCAACCCCGAAACGCTTGAGCGTGAGCCTCGATTTCAAAAGAAATGCAACCGGCTCCGAGGCGAGAACGCCAGGGCGAATTCAGGGGGTCCAACAGCAGTGAGTGCTTAGTAATCAGCACCCATTCAACAGCAAACGTTTCAGCAAACGGCAAGCGACAGACAGGCATAAATCCAGACCGCGGAGTCCAACGTCGTCAGCCACGCATCCAGGGATGGTGTAAGACCGTGCGGCCCCCTCACTCTGATCATCATCATGACCCCCTGCTACTCCGAGAAGGGAGCGGTGCGCGCGGCGGACTTCGGGCTCCTGAGTGGGCGGCGCCCTCAGAGTGGAGAGGGGGGAGGCATTGGGAGGAGGCACCGCTCCGCCGCTGTGTCGTCACCTCGGGCCTTCTGGAGGATGCGGCGAGCAGCAGCGGGCAGCGCTGAGGGCTGAGGGGGAGGAGGAAGCTCTAGGTTCCCAAGAGTTCATGGCTTGTTGACCTCCCGTGGGTGGGGGTGGGGGTGGATGAGAGAGAGACGAGACGGCATATGAGTTCATGGTGCGATCGGGATCTTTTGCTTAGCGTGCCGCGGCAGCGGCGGCCTCTGCGACACGCTATGCCGTGCTAACTGATAGCGTGCCGCGTCGCTTCGCGTGATGCTGGGAACAGATCGAGAAGTTGGTGCCTAGGGACCAACGGGTGGTGAGCGTATCGCGCCGAAGAGTGGTGGGACAAAACCGGCAGCGCGACACGCTAAGCCAACGTTCCTGACCTCATGGGGGATGGGATGCTGGCAGGAGCGCGCGAAGGTGCAAGAGAGCTTCAGGGTGCTGTGGGGGAGGAGCGCGTCGAGTGAGTGCACACGATGTCTGGGGTGGGGGTTCTCGGAGGTTCTTGCTAGCGGGAGCCTGGATTTCTTGTAGGGAAGGACGGAACACGAAAAAACATCACTTTCCGCGCTTCGCGCAGACTTCGTGGCTCGGCGATGGGCCCACCTCCATAGCGCGCGGAGCACGGCAGTGACGGCGCCACAGGCGCCGCTGGGGTGGGTGCGTGGGATGAGGACGGGGCCGATCCCGCGCGGAGCTCTGAAAGTCTGTATACCTATGCCGTCTCCTCCTCTCAGAAAGGAGGAAGGGAGGCCGACTGGCAGCCCCCCCCCCACCCCCCGCCCGCAGGCTTTCTACCCCGAGGGGCGGGGGTGAGGCCGACTGACGCTGAGTACTGCTTACGTAAGTAGTGGGGGGTGGTAAACGGGGGGGGCGCGAGAAACGTCCACCGTTCTCATAAAGGGGCACATAAAGTGAGAGGCAACGATAGGGTGGATAGGTGGATAGGCATAGGGGGGATGTATCGACTTGGAATCGGCGATGCATCGTCGATTGATCGGCGAAAGGCCACCGATCGTGAATCCGCACCTTCCTGGGCGGGGCGGGGCTATCGGGTCCCTATCGGCGATCAATCGGCGATTGTGGGAAGATGTATCCCCCCCTATGCCTATCCCCCTTCATATCGTTGCCCCCGAAAAAGACTTTCTGTGCCCCTTGTGGGGCCTGGGGGGGCCCTTTTAGCGCCGCTCACGTGCACGAGAGGTGCACCTTTCTCCCCCCCCCCCCACCCATCGACACCCCGCCACCCCGCAACGCCCGATGGCAGCCCGCCGCCCCTCCGCTGGCTACTACCGAAGGCCAGAGGCGCCGAAGGAGAGACGCGCCGAAGGCGAGACGCGCCCAAGGCGAGGGCCTCTCTCTCAAACGCCCCGCGCGGCGCCGGCTGTCCCTCCCGGCAGGCCTCTGCAGCCGTGGTGCCACCACAACCAGAGCTGGGGAAGGAGCGCAAGGGCTTTTGTTTATGGCCATTGTGCGCCTCGGCCACAGAGGCTCCCTGACCTGGACCTCCATTATTAGACAGGCGCGTTCCATGACTCGCAAGAAGTAACTGCTCGCGAATGGCCTGGATCCGCCGTTGGTGGTTTCCGATCCTTTACATCGAAGCAGACTTTTTCGTTGGCGAGTAGGCAATCGTGGAACGCGCTCGGTGAATTATGGAAGGAACGGCACGGGAGCGTGAGCCCCTCCGGAGCCCAAAGTGGTCCTTAATTACTTCCGCTGGGAGGCGGCTGGGGAGTCTAGAATGGATAGGCTCCGGGAAAATCGGTGAAGAAGGGGCGGATGAGGGCAAAGCTGGTCAAAACCAGTCGCCAAACCCCTCCTGGGGTCCGTCTGGCGCGTGCAGTTGTTCACCCTGGACCCGCTTTTGACGGTAATACACGGCCACTGGAGGCGGAAAAAGGCAAAAGCCTACCCCACTCGTACCCAGAACCTCGGACTCCGCCCCTGCTCGCCAGAGCCGGTACTGGGCCACCTCAACAGAGGCCTCCTGGATGGGGTCCGAGTAGGTGAGGTCGGAGGATTGCGCCGCATCGCCGATATATTGACGATGCATCGAGGACGTCGGCGGCGCATCGGCGAGGACGGCGTGGTGTGCAACCATTGCTAGGCAATATATGTAGTCCAACTTAGGTGCTAGACACTAACGTGCTCGTCTATGTGGTGCAATATTTGTGGTGTGAGCTCTTTGTGTAAGCAGTCGGTCGTGGTCGATTGCGATCGATGTGACTGCAATCGATTGGGTTGTGCGGTGCAAGATTCGTGGGGCACTCTACCAGCTAGGAACTAAGTGCTCCTCAATGTGATATGAGCTATGCTATGCAAATCATGTGTTGCAATCTATGTGATAGGAGCTCACATAATCATCCATGTGGCGTGCCGGATGGTGTGCAAACTTCGTGGTGCTATATATGTGGTGGGGGCTGTCGTACGAGCCGCATCGCCGATGCATCGGCGATGCGGCGCGATGCGACCGCACCTGAGCCTGTCCCCGTGGATCTCTGGTCATCGCTCGGCTCTCTGGCGGCCGTCCGGGGCGATCCAGGCAAGCCCGAAACTCTCTCGGCGATGAGCAGCCGCTGGAACGCATCCGAAGGCTGGACAGCCGCCGAGAAGCCACGAGAGCGTCTGGAAACCTCAAACCTCGAAACTCGGACCCGAGCCGGGGCCTAGACTCAAGATGGCCCAACTGGCGGGGGGTCTTGGGCGCGAATTAACGGGGGCAATACATGGGGGGGCGAAGAAAGGTGCCCTTCTCTGGCCCTAAAGGCCCCCTTTGGGGCCCGAACTGGCCCCGTCCTAAAAGGCCCCTTCTCGGCAGCCTTCGCTGCCCCCCCAATTAATCGCCCCCTGATTACGCGTCCTCAAAGTATCGTCGGAGGTCTGGGCATCCGGGCGCAGTCGGACAGAGGCTGCACATGGCTGGGGTCGTTGGGGGGCGATCGCCCCGTCGCCCTGGGCTCGAGGCGGGGAGGTCCGGGATGCCGAACGGGAGGAGGAGGAAGGACAAGACGGGCGACGGGGAGGTCGAGGAAGGGGGGGAGGAGGAAGGAGGAGGGGGGGGATGAGGAGGAGGATGAGGAGGAGGAGGAGGAGGAGGAGGAGGAGGGGGAGGAGAAGGAGGAAGGGTGGGGATGGAAGGAATTGGCATCCTCCGCGGGGTCATGATCAGGACACCCCCGCCGGCTCTCTCGCCTTCGGCGCCCTGCCCGTGCCCCGCGCCTCGTGCCCCCAGCCAAGGCTCGTCCGCGGCGCTGCGTCGGGCTCGCCCGCCTTCCTCGCGCGCCGCAGGGCTCCCCTCTGAGGAGGTTTTCTCCGGGGACCTCCCCCAGGGGGAGAGGGACGCATTCGGCGGCGAGCGAGGGGGGAAAGTGTCAAGGAGAAGGCCTTCTCAGAAGGCGACGGGCCTTCTCAGAAGCCCTCGCGTTACTTTTTTGACAAGCTTTCCGTGCCTCGGGGGAGGCTCAGAAAACTTCTCAGACGGCCTCTCGGAAGGCTGGGGGACTTCCGAGCCCTCTGAGAAGGCCTTCTCCTTCTCACTTGCCCCCGGGCTCGCCGCCGACCCTGCCCACGCCTGGGCTCAGAGCCCCCTTCCCCCTGGGCCCCGCCCGCTGGCTGGCACACCCACAGAGCGGGGGCGACACCAGCAGGGGCGATGCCCAAGCGCAGATGTCGCCCGAAAGTGGCAGCGGCCGCTGATGGGCAGAAGCGGGCAGCGCTCACCCCGACCGACCACAGATCTCCCACATCTTGGCGGCGCCGGGCCCCGGCGCCCCTCGAAATGCCCGCGGAGGCGCAACAGGCGGCCGCCAGCCTGCGCAGCATCTGCTCCGGGTCCCTCGCGGCCTGCTGGTAGTCGTCGACCTCGCGAAGGGGGCGCGGCGTGGCCGCGCAGGCTCCTCGGTGCCGGCCGGGTGCGAAGCTTTCGAACGGTGCGCCGCCGCGACACCGTCTTGTTCCTCCCATGACACGCGGGTGGCACGTCAAAGTGAGGGGGCCGACCGGTCCCACACCATCCCGGGGCCCTGGGTGCGCGGGTGAAGTGGGATTCCGTGGCCCGTATCTGCTTGTTTGTTGTTGAGCGTTATTGTGACTGTTGTTTGTTGTCGTTGTTCCCCCGGCGAGCCCCCGCGACCCACCCGCGACCAACCCTGCGACCAACCCGCGACCCACCTGGGACCCACTCGCGACCCACCCCGCGCCCGCTCCCCTCACTCTCATCCGCAAGTGTGGGGCGTGCTACGTGTGCTGTATTTGTGAGCCGAAGCCCTGCCACTCTACCAAGGAAAGAGAGCAGGACGGTGGCTGCCTCGATGGAAGAGAATAGGGGGCCACAGGCGAACCCCGCCCCTGCCCCCCACGATTTCTGAGGGGGAGTGTCCGCACGTGGCCCCCCTAGGAAAGGAACTCATGGCCCGAAGTGCGGGATAAATTTGGGGCGATGCGGAAACCATTAGGGCGGCCCCCTGCGCGGATGGTGCGCACCAGGCGATCCGACCACTCCGTGACTTAGGCCTTGAGGGGCGTCCATGGCCCGACTGCACGGAACGCCGCGACGCCCCTCCCTCAGACCGGCGCAGTTGGGCCTGCACTGTTGACGGGGGGGGCGTTTTGCAAAGGAGCTGCCGCGCATCCTTCTGGCGCCTGGTGGGGAACGCGAAGCATTGGTGTCTTGTTTGAAAAATGCAGCGAGGTGTCCAACGGATCTGCCTTTCGAAGATGGACAGCCACCATCCGTGGAAACGTTGCACGAAGTTGCGCATGTGGTCACGAACTTCGAGGAAGTCTCAAACGGCAACACCATTTGGAAAAAAACTGCATCCGTGCAGTGCGACACGTGTTGAAGTTCCGGGCCTTTAGAACCAACTGAGCCTCGATCAATAGCCCCTTCTTGTAACAGAACAGTCACCATCCGTCTATATGTTTCGCTCAGAGCACGAACGCGCGAGGCGCGAAGACAAGAGCAAACGTTTGAAAAGGAACCGCCCTCCCTCCTTCAAATTGTTGCAACATCAGAAAATGATGGTGCGCGGCGTCAACGCGAGAGCCACATACATGTTGAATATCACCCCCATCCAGTTTCTGGAGCTGTTGGACGCGGTTGAAACGAGTGCTCCATCCTTAAAACGATTGCAAACTTTCAAAACGAGCATGCGTGGCGTTGTGGCGAGAGACACATTGTGCAAAAGAGCCGCCCTCCCTTGAAAGCCAATCCTCCTCCATCCGTGTAGCTGATGCACACCGTTTACATGAATGCGCACGGCGCTGACGCGAGCACCACTTCTTAAAAACCTGCGCGCCGAACTTGCAGCTATTGCAAAGTTCATGTTTCAGGATCGCCACTGGTGAGGACGTCTGAAGCAAAACGCCCCGCCGCCCTACCGATGAGTCTGGGGGCGACATGGAGGAGTCAGTCATTCAGAAGAGGGGTCGAAGATGAGAAAGGAGGGGAGGAGAGAAGGGAGAAAACGCATAGGAGGGAGAGGGGATGAATAGGACGGAGGAGGGAGCAGGAAGAGCAGGAGGGTAAGCTCTTCCGTCCGAGAGTGCAAGGGGGGGAGCATGATCGGCTGGAGGGGACGGAAGACGATCAGGAGCCTCCCCACCACTCACTCGAGGGGGAGTCTGATGCCACGCTTTGTCTAGAGGCCTCCTGGATGGGGTCCGATGCATCGGCGACGTCGGCGACGCATCCGCGACGTCGGCGTGGGGAACATCGGGCTCCACATCGAGCCGCATCGTCGATGCATCGGCGATGCGGCGCGATCCTCCGACCCCATCTGCTCCGACCCCATGTAGGAGGCCCAGATTGTCTGAACACCCACGACCTGGGGGAGGGGGGGGGACAAACCTCTCTGAAGCGGACACCTGACCACCTCGATGACCCTCCCGGGCCCACCCTGGGCCCAGAGACGGTGCCTGCGCCTCCCCAGGCAAGCCAGGGCAGCATCTGATGAGGGGGTTCCCCCAACGATGATCACCCCGATGCGGCGGCGACGGGTCCGTCGGGGACAGATGCGCAAAAACGATCTGTCCGCCGCACGGAACTATTGAGAAGTTATTGAAAGAAGTTGTGCGATGTGCGAGGGGGGCGCCGTGGACAGTGAAGTTCAACCATGTGTGGCGCGCAATTTTTTCGGTGCGACGGCGACGGCGGGTGGCCAGACTGATGCACAGTACGTAACCAAGCACGTTCGCCGACGGTGCGACAGCGACCGGCGAGGCCGCGACAGATAGACAGTTCGTTTGTTTCCGGAGAACTCCTAAGATAGACTGTGGGAAGGATGGGGAAGCCATTCTGCTTCACCCTTGGTGCCTTTGCAGGGCCGCTTGGGGCCGTTTCGCCTGAGACGTCGTCGCAACATGGAGACGTCGGCCCGAGAAAAGCCAACGTGGCCTTCACCATGCACACACATCTCTGCAGCGCACGCAATGGCCAAAACACAATATAAAAATCCCACCAGCCCTTTGGGCGTGAGTGGTTTAAAGAGCCCTCTCTGTCCTCAACCCCCTTCTTCCCCTTGGGGGAGGGGTTTACCCCTCCCCCTACCCCCTCCCCCTGGGCCTGGAAGGGGCGTTTCGCGGGTCGTTGGGTCACCGAAGATGGCCTAAGATGGCGCCAAGAGGGCCCAAGAGAGCTCAAGGTGACCTCCAAGATCGCTCAAGATAGCCCTCGATGACTCAATATAGCTCCCAACATGCGTACAAGACGCTCCAAGACCGCCCCAAGACGGCTCCACGTGGTCACGGGGCTCCCGATGCATCGTGTAATTGTTTTATACCATCGGAGGCCATGTTAAGTTCAAAACTCAATGGTCAAAACCCAATGTAAATATTCACTATCTGGGCCCAAGAGGCTGCCACATAAGCGTGGAATATATACAACCAATACAATATGCGAGGCGCGCGCGCGCTGGTGACCCGCGCGGGGCCGGGTCACCCGCGCGCGCGATGCATCCTGTATTGGTTTTATTCCATCGGAGGCCATGTTAAGGTGAAAACTCAATTGTCGAAACCCAATGTCAAAATTCATTCTCTGGGCCCAAGAGGCGGCCATATAAATGTGGAAAATATACAAACCGATACAATATGCGAGGCGCGCGGGCGCGCTGGTGACCCGCGCGGTGCCGGGTCACCCGCGCGCGCGCGCGATGCCTCCTGTATTGGTTTGATACAATCGGAGGCCATGTTAAGTTGAAAACTCAATGATCAAAACCCAATGTAAATATTCATTCTCTGGGCCCAAGAGGCGGCCATGCCAACGTCAAATATAGAAAACACAATACAATATGCGAGGCGCGCGGGCGCGCTGGTGACCCGCGCGGTGCCGGGTCACCCGCGCGCGTGCGCGATGCCTCCTGTATTGGTTTTATACAATCGGAGGCCATGTTAAGTTGAAAACTCAATGATCAAAACCCAATGTAAATATTCATTCTCTGGGCCCAAGAGGCGGCCATGCCCACGTCAAATATAGAAAACACAATACAATGGGCGAGGCGAGCGCGGGCGCGCTGGTGACCCGCGCGGGGCCGGGTCATCCGCGCGCGCGCGCGATGCATCCTGTATTGGTTTTATACAATCGGAGGCCATGTTAAGGTGAAAACTCAATTGTCCAAACCCAATGTCAAAATTCATTCTCTGGGCCCAAGAGGCGGCCATATAAATGTAGGAAATATACAAACCAATACAATATGCGAAGCGCGCGGGCGCGCTGGTGACCCGCGCGGTGCCGGGTCACCCGCGCGCGCGCGCGATGCCTCCTGTATTGGTTTTATACAATCGGAGGCCATGTTAAGTTGAAAACTCAATGATCAAAACCCAATGTAAATATTCATTCTCTGGGCCCAAGAGGCGGCCATGCCAACGTCAAATATAGAAAACACAATACAATATGCGAGGCGCGCGGGCGCGCTGGTGACCCGCGCGGTGCCGGGTCACCCGCGCGCGCGCGCGATGCCTCCTGTATTGGTTTTATACAGTCGGAGGCCATGTTAAGTTGAAAACTCAATGATCAAAACCCAATGTAAATATTAACTATTCATTCTCTGGGCCCAAGAGGCGGCCATGCCAACGTCAAATCTAGAAAACACAATACAATATGCGAGGCGAGCGCGGGCGCGCTGGTGACCCGCGCGGGGCCGGGTCACCCGCGCGCGCGCGCGCGATGCATCCTGTATTGGTTTTAGACAGTCGGAGGCCATGTTAAGTTGAAAACTCAATGATCAAACCCCAATGTAAATATTCATTCTCGAGGCCCAAGAGGCGGCCATGTAAACCTTGCCAGGTCTTAGCAGCATTTCCATTCCCCTCCGTTTGGGTAACTGGAAGAAATGGGCCGCCACCAATGGATAGACGCCCCCCGCCAGTCAAGCCGCGCCGAGGGTGCGACGGCGCCCGGGGGATGGGCAGATAGACGGACAGAAGATGCGCAGACGTATCGGTGCGACGGCGCCTGGGGGGATAGATGTAGATACATGGATACGCCGCGCCAGCCAAGCAAAGCCGACGGTGCGGCGGCGAACGCGAATATTGACCAGAACGGAGATCAATACAGGGGGAGCCCCCTTATAGCATCTGCAACGATCCTGGGCCCAAGGTGGGCTCGGCGAGCATCGGTAAACGGTGGCCAGCCGACGCTCCACGGCTCCACCTTCCCCCCGCCTCGCCGCGCCTTGCTCCTCGCCTCGCCTCGCCTGCCGCTTCCGTCGCCCCCGCACCCCTCGCCTCGCCCAGCCCTGCGCCCCCCCGGCCCCGTCGCCCGCCCCCATCGGGAGCGGCGAAGTCCGGACAGAAGACGTCCAGAAGGAGACCGGGCACTCCGTGCGGACTGATACTCCGCACGGACTGTATAGCACCCGATCCGGCGAGGCGAAGTCTGGACGGAGCAGGTCCGCAC